TGCACTGGTGGACTCAGAGATCCCGGCCTCAATAGTATCCAGTGTAATCTTTCTGCTGTCCCTGCTCAGCTACCATGGTCTGAGCATCCTCCAGCAAAATGTCCTTCATTTGTCCTTGACACGCTGGAGGTATCGCTGACTTCCCTGTGTTCTCCCTCTGCCTTCCGGTCAAAAACAGCATTGCATTCAACTTACAACCAATTCCACAGCAAATCCATAATCTTTAACTCTGTTAAAATCATTCCCATTTGGCTGTGGCAAAGAGAGCCTGTAAACCATGATTAGTGAAAGCAAAGGGCCAGAGAAGAGAATTAATTTCGCTTTGCTGTTCAAAGGCTGCGCTGCCCTCGCTCAGTGGAGGATTTGTGCCCTTTAGACAAAAGGCTGACAAGTGTCACCTGTTAATCTTCTCTGTGTGCAGCCCTTTGCAGCATGAGATGGTCCCATCACAGGGCCCTGTTGGCTCTGACAGCTGCTATTTGCAAGTCAGCTGCAAAGCGCTCCCTCTTTATTCCTCTGGCTATTTTTAGCATTTCTCTTTAGATGCAGCAAAAAAAAAAAAAAGGCATCTCCTATCGGTGATAACCAGGTTGTAGTGATTGTTCCCCTTCAGGGAGAGACATGTTGGGCAATGGCAAGGGAAGGGCTTTCCAGGATCACTCCACTGTGTGTGAAACATCTGCTGGCTGTCACCAAGGTGGAGACACCACTGTCACCTGCAGCAAATCCCTTCAGGAGCCTGTCTCCAGCACATCCAGTGTGTGCTGGTTTCAGCTGGAGAGCTGGCTGCTGGATCAAGGGCAGGTCAGAACAGCTCAGTGTATGTAAAGGGCAGCCAGGAAAGGTCTGCCGAGCCTGCAGCGTGCTCCACAGTGGCAGGGAAGGGCTCTTGGGAGCATCAGGGCTGCATTTAGAGTTGAAAGAAGTCACAGTGTTCCCTGGAGCTCTTTTCTTCCCTGTTTTAACTGCAGGACAAACTAGTGAGTGAATGGGGGAGAGCCTGTCCCACCAATCTCACAGTACATGTCCCCCTCAGCTCACCATCCCAGCTTCTCTCTGAGCATTTGACAGACAGCTCACTAAGCTGGATTTGAGCATCCAAAATTTAGTCTATTCTGCTGAATGGTTCCTGCTGTTTTTAATTCACATTCATACTAAATTTCTGCTGTTTTATTTTTCTCTTCCATCTCCCTTCAAGGGAGAAGCAGTGGCTTTCTTGGAGATAGCTTATGATTTTTCCAGGCAGAAATTGTTTCCATTCCAGGATTATTGGCAATACTCAAATATATGTCCAGGAATTGGTCAAAGCCAAGATTTAGAGCTGCTGCTTCTAGTGTCTAATAAACCAGCACTGCAAAAGGTCAGCCTCTGTGCAATGTAGCAGCCAGTTCTACCAGTTAATGGCATAATCTATTACAGGAGTAATTCCCTATGTCTTCCCTTCCCAGTCAAATATAACAGCAGTGGGGAACATTAACTGTCTAATCTAATACTGAGTTTCTTATAGTGCTAGTAAGCCCATTAACTAGGGCTGTTATCCAGACTGATGGAGTCTTGACCTTGGCCTGTGTTTCTAAGTGAGCTTTGCCATTCCCCTTGGGATCAGCAGCTTGATTCAAGCAGCAGCTCTGCTGCCCTCCTTGCATGGGTCTGTGCTGGTGGCCCAGTCTGGGTGTCCCTGCAGCATCCAGCCCTCTTGCTGTAGTTTGCACTGCAGAGCATTCATCGTTTCAAGGTCATCCAGAGCTCTCTGACTTCTGAATTTATGGAGGATAACAGCAGCCTTTGCTTTGCTGTAAACATTTCCAGTTGCCAGTGGTTCACCTTTAGCCCAACAGCTCTTGTTCTTGTGTTTTTTAACAGTCCTTCATACTCTCCTGCTTTTTACCTCTATATCATTGATGCAGGCTGCAGCATCAGCTGTTCTATTACCAGGTGCTTTTATTTTCTCCAGAGCTGTCCCAGCTGCTGGCCAGAGCCATTGCTAGCAGCACTCATGGATAGCATCACAGAACAGCTTGGAAGGGACCTTAAATATCAGCTGGTTCCAGCCCCACTGCTATGGGCAGGGACACCTCCTGCTAGACCAGAGGAGGGGTGGGCTGGTGTGAGAGCACAGCTGCCTTCTCTCCACACAGGCACAGTGCAGAGGAACACTTGGCATCATCCTTTGATGTGATTCTCTCCCTGGCAGGTAAGAGGAAGTGGTTTAGTGAGTGTTCAGGGTCCAGAGGGGTTTCTCTCCCTTGTTGTCCTGCAGCATGCAGGGTTTCTGTGGGTGGTCTTCTCCCACCTTTGTGTCTCCTCTGCAGTAACATGGCTGGACTCCCCCTAGAGAGGAATTGCTCCAAGACTGGTTCTGGGTGTGCTGTGAACTCTCAGAGCCCTCAGCTTCACTCAGTCCTGGCCTTCCCCTCCTCTGTCCCAGTCCTCAGCATCTTGCTAATTATCCCAAGCATCTGTTCTGAGCACAGCAGTGAACATTTCCCTGAACGGCTGTGAGCTGTCTTGCCAGATTGTTATTTACGTGCTCGCTCAGGTCACACGCTCCCCAGGGCAGGAGCGAGACCCGAGTTTGGCCCATTTGTCTTGCATGAGTTGAAGAGAATAAAGAAAACATTTACCTTCTGGCTGATGGTCCATTCATCTCCTGCTGAATCTCATGTCTTTGTCTGTCAGGTCTCCTTTTTCCTGCACTATTTTGAGTTCTCTAGGCACTAGTTTTCATCCTTTTTTGACTCTGTGTGCAGCCCAAAATGCCTGAGCAGCAGGGTCACGGAGTCTCGCCGGTCCTCATGTGCACCAGGACTCCCTTTTTCTCTCCTTGTATGGGAAAATCACGAGCCTGATAAAGCCTGTCTGGCTCTGGGCTCCCTCTTCTTCTGCTTCCCCCATCCCATGTCCCTGCAGATTTGCCAGCCCTGGGGCTCTCTCTGTGCACAGTTTATCATGGGGAGCCAGGCCACAAATCCAGCCCCTCTGCCCTGGTCCCAGAGACTGCTGCCACAGTGAGGCTGACAGATACCAGGTGGGTGGTGGGGCAGGAATTGTGTGCCCACAGGGAGCAGCGTGTGGCCCTGGACATTGGGCATGCACCTTGTGCTGCTAAGGTGTTGGTGACAGGAAACTGAGAAAAACGTTAAGCCTTCTCTGCTAAATAAATGCTACTGTTTCTGTTGTATCTCAAAATATCACCTGGAGTGTTGGTGCAAACAGTGGATGCAGGGTGAAAAAACACTGAACCCAAGCAGAGCCACTCCCAAGCTGGTCACCCAGGATGCCAAGACGTCCCTTTTCACAAAGGTGACATTCATAAGGAGCTCAAGGGCAGGTTTTTCCATGCTGATGGCTCAGCAGCTCTCCCTGTGTAGCAGCAATAACCAGGTTTCTCAAAGAGCCAGGTCAGTGTAGAAGGGAGGTGCAGCATTCCATGGAAAAGTTGGGCCATTTAATGCAGGGAGCTAAGCCACCCCATGAACCTGTGCTAGTGACGTGTCCTGTTCAGTCCCCATGTGTGGTGAGATGCTGAGGTGTGTGTGCTGGCATCCTCCTTCCCTGTCAGAATAAATAAATACTCCCATGGGGCTAAGAGCAGGTCTGTAAATAGCTAATGAGAGCTGAAATCCCAACCTGAAATTAACACACTGCTTGTTGAATGGGGTTGGAAAAGAATTCCTTTTCTTTTGAATGTCTTTTAAATGTAACTGGCTTGCAGGGGGCATCAGCAAGTCTTTGTGGTTGACTCAGCTGTGTGAGAGCCTGCGGTCCCCAGCCCACCCTGCAGGCGGGGCTCCTCTCTGCCGTCACTTGTACCCAACGTGCAGCCTCCTCACAGCATCCTTTGTGAGAAACGGATTTGGGGAACAGGGGGCTGTATCATTCCGTGGCTAATTGCCCCCCTCCAAGGACTTTTGGAGAAGTGGAGGAGGTTTGTAATTGCACCTGACTTTGGCACGCAGCAGGCAGAGAGCAGCACCCGGCACGGCAGCGTGGGTATCCCGGCACAAAGCCCCTGACGTGTGTCTCAGCAGCTGTGTCATGGCTTGGCAGATGCCCGTGGGACAAATGTAGGTGTCAAATGCTGGCCTCAAGCCTCCTCCTTATCATTTGCAGCAAGTTCTTCTACAACCTCCAAAACAGCTGCGTAAATCAGGGTACAACTGGGTAAATCTTGATTTATGTCAGTGTACCACAGATTGTGATGCTTTTGTGTTGCTATGCACATGTCCTAGTGCAGTGACCAGCACCTGTAGCTTGCCATGGCCCAGCCTCACTGTCTGGTGATGAGATCTGGAGGCTGTGTCATCCCAAGAGCTTTTGTTTTGCTGTGGTGACTGTGGCAGAGACGCTGCTGGTGTTTGAGGATGTTGTCCTGTTAGCCTTGCCACCCATATTCAGATCCTCTTTGTGACTGCAGTCATGGAAGCAGATATGAAAACCACGGAGTGGACAGCATGGAGGCTTCTGGTGTTGAGCAGTAGGAAATGGGACCCTCTGATCAAAAAGGAGATGCGTGTGTGTGTGTGATAAATAAATAAGGAATTGATGCTTGCCCGCATCAATTCGGGCAAAACGAGATGCTTGCTCGTCTCACTTTTAACTACTGCTCTAAATGGATTATTTCCTCCCCAGAAATGAGGTCTGGGAAGTGATGGCTACAAAGAGACATCTTACAAGCAGTTCTAGGAATCTGTTACTTGAAGAGGTGACAGGCCAGATATGAGCTGCAATGGCAGAGATTTTTCTTAGAGAAAATAAGTTACAGCTAAACAAATACTGACCAGCTGGTGACTGCACCCATTATTGGGCTTTCTGGAGAAGGAAAGAGATTTTAAATGTATTCCATGTAACTAAACTGTGTGGAAATCATTGAATTTTGCTCAAAAAAAAGGCTTCCGTAGATGTCATTCATTTTGAAGATATATTAAATCTGATTCTTTAGTTACGGAGTTGCTTTAAAATGCAGATTAACTACTTGCCAAAATAATTTTCTTTTGCAGCTTGAATTTCAGTGGAGTCCATCTGGCATCTGCTGGGCAGTTTAGTGACTTCCTGGGGAGCATGGGCCCTGCACAGTTTGTTGGCCGTCAGACCTTGGCCACCACCTCCATGGGTAAGGAACACAAGGGAATTGGGTGGCTTTAATTGAGTCTTGAACAGACAGCTCCAACAAGCCACTTAATAATGTGTCCAGCATCTGCTGATCTAACACTGTCCTGCTCCATTTCTCTGTTGAATCAAGTGAGCTTGGCTGAAAGGTTTTGCTGACTGCAGCAAATGTGGCATTAGGAGGAGAGCAGCAGCTTTGTGTTCTTTCTCCCTCAGCTCTGAAAAGCATAGACTAAGTAAAATGCAGCTGAAATCCCAAAAATACATCCTGTGGGGTTCTTCCTCTCTAAGGCCCACCACTCTCTAAGGCTCTGTAAGAATTTCATTACAGTCCGCCATAATTGCATTTTCCAAAGCAGCCTCCAGTCCTAGGTTCTTCCATTTGGGAGAGAAGAGAAGCTTGCTGCCATAAAGAGTAGGAGACTGAGCCACCAAAGCCATTTTAGAGGGCTCCCAGTCGAGTTTCCTTTTGAAAATGTGGCCTGGAATCACTGTGGAGCTGCTCCAGAGTAATACAGGAGGAAATCAGGCCCATACAGTTTGTTATAGCTTGTGTAGGAGGGACACGAAGATTGTTTTTTAAACATTTTTTTAATTAAGGGTGTATTATTTTGAAAGTCTTCTATATATTTTGACATTTTGGTTTAGGGGATGTGGAAATTGGCTTGCAAGAGCGAAATGGGCAGCTTGAAGTGGATATCATTCAGGCTCGAGGACTGACACCAAAACCTGGCTCCAAAACACTGCCAGGTAGGATGCTTTGATCTACTAAAGTACTTCCCTGAGCCCCCACAATGCTTGTGAATAGGGAAAATTTGAATTTTTTCTTGGCAGGACTAAGCAGCCTGTGCGTAGTACAGAAAACAAGGCTGCCTGGGCAAATCTTTTCCCTGCTGTAACTGCCTTCTTTAGAAACACCTGAGACATGGCACTCTGTCTTTTCTAAAGTGAGCATGATGATTTTCTTCATATGTGACCACTTTTCTTATTTCCAGCTGCTTACATCAAAGCTTACCTGCTAGAGAATGGAGTGTGCATTGCAAAAAAGAAGACAAAAGTGGCTCGCAAGTCATTAGACCCTTTGTACAATCAGGTGTTACTGTTTGCTGAGAGTCCGCAGGGCAAAGTATTACAGGTAAGATGAGCAAGTCTCAGGTCTGGCCTTTTCTCTCTTTCACCTTTCATGGAAGATACTAAGTCCTGTCATGCTGGTTAATTAACATAGATGAGAAAAAGCCAATGTTTTAATCGAACCAAATGCACTTGATCTGAACTTAACAAAGGGAAAGGAATCCCTTTTTCTTTGTACTCAAGCTGATGATTATTTGACACCCTGCCAGGTACCATGAGTGCCTGCCAGGAAAGGATTATTTTTAAATTTTCTAAGTTCTTTTTTTCCCACCCAGTTAGGAGATGGGTGATACCTATAGGTGCTAAATGATCTTGTAGCATGGGTTGCCTTCCATGTTTACACACATTCAGGGCACTCTGCTTTGCCATCACCCAATCACATATCCTACCCTTTTCTACCTCTTTTCTGCTACTGCCATCCATTTTCTGCCTTACTCATATTTTCAACATTGTACCTATGTTTCTAGAGCAAAGAGTGATTTGCATTGTTAAACCATATAAAAATAATTGCTATCCAATAAAGCCTGGCTAAAACCTATTTGTAATACTAATGTAATTAATCCATGAGTTTCTATTCTTTACCTCCACTGGTATATGAATTTCCAGCTAACCTGCTGGACCCTTTTCTTTAATGACTTCTACCTCATTTACCTTGTTTAGAAGCATTTTCTCCTGATGCAACAAGACTGTACATTTGACTGAAATAGAGTGGGACCTGGCTTGGTCTGCTCTTGCCTTGCATGGGTTTCCTTACCTGCTGCCTTGCTGCCAGGAAAGGCACTTATTCCAAAAATAAATAGAGGAGCTTGGCTTTTTGCTGATGGCCATGTCACCGAATTCAGTTTGTACAGTGGCTTGCTCCATCTCCTGCTGGCCTAGAGTGTGAATTTTTGGTTTTTGATTGACATTCATTGTCTCTCCTACCTCATTTTACAGAAAACTGTAGTGTTGTGGTTGTTAGGAGCCTGGGGAAAGAAGCTGTCAGGATTAGCCAGAGATCACTAATTGTCATCATAACCCATCCTACTCATCCTCTCCTCTTCAGAACACGGACTCACTCTGCAGTCAGTCGTCACCTTTGTCTTGAGCCACACAGGGCCACCTGGCCACGTGCAGACCTCCAGCATGCCTAAGCCCATGACCCTCACTGCATCTGTTCTTCCACCCACTGGTCTCCATCGTGTCGTAAGTGTGATTCAGCTTTCCCAGCTCCTCTGCCAGCTCTTTCATTAGCCCTTCCTCTGTGTCTGTGAGCCGTTCTTGGCCGTCTGCTGCTTGTCCTGCATGTCGCTCATATGTGCCCCTCGTGTTGTGCCCCTGGCTCCTGCCCTTCCTCCAGGTGAGTGGCCATGCCTGGTCTCCATCAGCCCCGTGGCATGAGCTCTGTGTGCAGAAGTTAAAACATGCTCTTCTCCTCAAACTGTTGGCTTTTGGCCCAAGTTGTTGCCCACCTTTTTTTTGTTGGTTTATTTTTCCAGATCAGGAGCTCCTCCTGCCCTTCCCCCCCAGGCCACCTTTTGATGTGTCCAAGGCCTGTTATATGCCAGGACCAGATTTCACCTGCAGGTGTTGGACTGCAGCCCTGAGAATACTTTCTGCAGGTGCTGCCCCTGCCCAGCAGAATTGTGTCTTATCCACATGCACATTTACCTCTGTTACATGGGGGGGAAAAAAAATGCAATAACATTAGCATTTGTAAACATGTGCTTAAAATAAAAAAGTTGTATCATCAGCCAGAGCTTCATGTCACCTTACTCTACCATGTTGGTAGAGTGAATGTTTCTGGTCTTCTCAGGCTGTAGTAAAGCTCCAGAAAGTTGGATGAATAGAAGGATTGGTCAGACTTGTGCTTCCCAAGGTAGTGTGAAAGTTGGAGGATTAACTGTGCCCCCCCGCCTTCTTGTCCCTAAGGTGATAGTCTGGGGAAACTATGGACGCATGGAGCGCAAGCACTTCATGGGAGTCGCCAGGGTTCTCCTGGAAGAACTGGATTTGTCAACTTTAGCAATCGGCTGGTACAAGCTGTTCCCAACTTCCTCGATGGTAGATCCCACTACAGGCCCGCTCCTGCGTCAGTCCTCACAGCTTTCCCTGGAGAGCACAGTGGGACCCTGCTGTGACAGGTCTTAGTGAGTAAGGAAGGGGGAACTGCTTTTGTTTTTTAAACATGCTGTCAAGGTTTTGTTTGCTGGAACTCTGACCTCAAGCGCAATGCATGTTCAATCAGTTCTTGTGGAGCTGGAAGAGGAGGATAAACCAGTGACCTTAGACAGAAGACGAGGGGGAGGGCACTGTGCCCTCTCTGTCCGAGGAGGAGGTGCCATGGGGCATGAGTCCTAGTTGTCAAATTAGACATACACCTCTTGTTTCACTTCTCTCGCTGTCATTCTTGGACCCTTGTTTCAGATCAGTATTAACCCTGGAAAGTTGCAGCATTCAAAAGAATTTGGGGGGAGTAAGGAATGAATTTCTCTCAGCTGTGTGTCTTAGAAATTTCTAATATGAATTCTTTCACAAGAAAGTACCTGAAAAATTTAGAGGTCATCGTCTAAAAAGAGCGGGAACAGAAAGTTTAAGAGGAAGCATTAGGTCTTTTTATAATGCCTTTCTTTCTGAGAGGAAGAAAAAGAAACCTGCAACTCTTTCTTTAGAATCAGTTCCCTGTCACTGAGTCATGATAGCTGTAACACTGTCGTTGCTGTGTTTTCAAACTGTGCCAAATTACCAGCAAGTGTCTTTACTGCATTACGTGTCTAACACTGCTGATGAAGCATACTTGGTGGGAGAAGCAGTAGCGCCTACTTAGAGCAGACAGTTTAAACAGAGTTTGAGTTTAGCAGGCTAATTAACTGCAATTTTGCTCAGAAAAAACGCCCAAAACACTGGAAGTGGGAGCTGAACATCACACTTGTGGCTTGAGGTGTTTTGTATTGTCAGATAAGACATTCTGCGATTTGCTGACTCCCTTACTTGTTGCTGTGCATCCTTCAGTCATGATGTCTCCCTATCTCCTGCTTTTTTCCTTCATCTCCTTGGTACTGGTACATATCTGCTGGAGATGCTGCCCTTCCTTCCCAGACCTGAAACAGGACTGTTTTATTCTGCCATGGGAGAGGAAATGGGGGGTTCTGGGGGTGCAGAAGAGAGAAACCTCAGTTTGCCACCTGAGAAGAAGGTGATGGAGAGCCCATAACCTTTCTTGTGGAGAGAGGGGAGCTTTAGGCAGTCCTGGTACTACACAGACATTGTCAAGTGTCTTGCAAGAGAAGATGTGATCCCCAAAGTACAGAGAGGTAGTGAGCGAGGAATGTGATGACACAGTGATCACAGCACATGTGTTCTGTTCATTAAATGAGTAAAGCACATTTGCTGAGCTGTGGCAGCTGCTGCCAGCAGAGCCACGAGCTGGAGGAAGTCCTCTGGATCCTCCAGACAATTTAATTATCCAGAATCACAGAGAATCTCCAAAGATTTTCTGTTGATAGCTCTGTTTTGGCTAGGTTTTGTCTTAGTTCCTAAATGAGGATTTGATGAGTGCTGTCCCAGAATAAGTTTTTGGAAATGTTTTACTTTGTGGTTTAAAAGTGAAGGTCCCATGTCCCATATAGGAAAGAGCAGATTCTTGGCCTGTCATAGAGAAATACTGAGCATTTATTTCTGCATGTGGACCTCAGCTTTTTTAGAGTAAAAGCATGAGTGTTGAGTGGATGGTAAAAGCAGTTGCTTTTGGTCCTAGCTTGTCTATGGCATTTTAAATTATTTTGAGATAAATTACAGAATAGATGCAAAAATTATATAGGCCTTACAATAACCTGTAAAAAATTCTATAATATAAAGGAGAGGGAAGGAGGACAAGGGACATAGAATGACTAGTTTTTTTGAGTCTTCAATGGCAAAAGCCTCAACATTTCAGATAAATCTCTTAATTTCCTTGATCAAATATGTCTCTTGCCTCTCACTAATTATTTTTTCTAATTGTATTAGAAAATTTCTATATATTAGCTGAAGAAAGTTTGTTGCATGCTGGTCAAACTATGTTGTGGCGCTCTCTCTTTTATTTTTATTTTCAAAAAAGAAGCACATTTACTGTAATTCAAGTCAGCATCTTTTCCTCTTGGTATGTAGTGAGTACTAGGCAATATTGTACAATATGTGTATGAACTAGAATAGAATAGGTAGATTTAGTGGTTTGTAGCACTGGATCTTTTAATAACTATGACTTTAAAAGGACTATGTGGAGCTACAGGTACACGCCAGACCTGGCAACAGGGCTTCTGTCTTCAGTTATGCTGAAAGCTTTGTATTGGTAGGTAGTTTGGACATTATCTACCAGTAAAAGCTAAGTTAATCCTGAGTTTCCTGTGTCCAGTAAGATGAAAACAGCATTTTTGCAGTTTTTAATGGGGAGTAGGAGACTATATATGCCAAAAATATTTCCCCAGAAAACTTTGTTTAATGACTGTCTGTCGAAAAGCTCAGTTCCTATGTGCCTGGCAGATGCAGCGTGTCTCCATTTCCTGCCCCTCTGAAAGCTCTGCAGGCTCAGTGATGATCAGTTTAGTTACCACAGGACTCCTTAACACCAAGGACTATCTTCCATCTGGTTTTAATCATGCTGAAAGGTCACTGTCAGGGTAAAATAAAGAAAGTTACAGTTCTAGTTTTGTTGTTTTTGTTACCATCTCCAATTCTGTAACTTGGAGGCAGTTTCACAGTCTGCTCCGTCCTGTTTTCTTCTGCATTTTTTACGTGGTTGACTGTGGTCCAGTGCTTCTCGCTTTTGTTCTACTCACTCCAAGTCCTGTTTCTCCCCAGTAAGTGAACACTGCAATCCCTGGCTGCCAAGCACAGCCACATGAGCTGGCAAGTGCAGGTGACTTTCCTTCACAAAGCAGACTCACAGGAGCCCTTCTGTGAGTGCCCACAGGACACAGAGCGAGGCCAGGGGACTTGCACGGTCCCCAAGAGTTTAAATTCTGGCTTCACTCATACACATGATTCCTGCACTGGCCATGGTGTATTGTAGTCAAAAAAGAACTCTTCTATTGCCCATCAATTTAAGACTCCCAGTGTAGCATCCAATACAAATCTCAGGCTTGGAATAGCCTATTTTTTATAAAGCCTAACCCACTTTTCCCAAAAAAAATTTGGCTGGCCAGTTTGTGTCTAAGGTGATGTGATGTGAGAGTTGGGATTACCAGTGTGGTCATGTGTAAAGCAGCATTTTGCCATAGTGATGAGCAGTTGAAAACTGAACTTTTGTCCCCTTTGCAAGTCCTGGCTGAGTCTTTTCCTGTGCCTGAGTCTTGCTGTTGGTTACAGTCAGGGGGGGAGAGAGGAAGAGCAGGAGACTTACATGAAAGAAAAAAAAAAGGTGTCACAGTATTTTTTGGTTGGTGAATAAATGAGGGATGAGACTGAGGAGAGAGAAGTACCTGCCCAACTCAGGGTTGAGTCTCTGTTCCTTGTGCATGAGCTGCCACATTGTAAAGGTAATGGGAGCATTGCTGGTCAAAAAAACCATGGAGAGCCAATCCCTAAATGTTACCTGCATTATGGAAAACAAGGAAATCCTGATGCTGAGAGCAAAATGATCTCTCCCTGGTGGGAATCTGCTGCACACAGGGAGAGCAGCCTCACATGTGGCTTTGTCCTCTTTGTGCTCTGAGCAAAAAGCAGCCATGGTTGGTCCTGGTTTGTTCAGGCAAAAAATGTGATATTTTCCCAGTCTCCTGGTGTTTCTTTCCCTTTGTCCCAACACAGCTGGCATGGCCAAGGTCTTCACTCTGCAATTCAATCCATGGGTCCTCATCCTGCAGCCAGAGCTGCTGGAGCATCCCTTTGCACTGCAGGTACTGTGGGCAGGGTAAGGGCCAGCATTTCTTGGGCATGGGTTGTTTCAAAGGACATTGCAGAATTATTTGCTTTGAATGAAAATATATATTTATTGTTGCTAGCTACCAGATCCTTTATCATTGTACTGTTCTAAATTTGCAGGTCTTCTGGAGTATGAATATCACAAGTTCCTGTAAAGGAGCTGTTTTTAAGATATTGAGGCAGTTAACAGAATCTCAACCTAAGCATGTTTAGTAATGTTTAGACAGCAAGACAACTTTTTTATGAAACTCATTTTAAGTTAGTTTATTACATGCTGTTGGTAATATTTTAAAACAGGAAAAATATTTTTCTTTAAAGACAGAATGATATGTATGTTTTTTAACAGGTAACATAATTTAGTGTTTTCAAAAATGTTTGATGTTCTTGGTATGAAGTTTACTCATTCTTTTGATTTCTATGTTCCTTGTTATATTTTATCAACCTTTTTCCAAAAGAAAAGAGGCACATGTAAATAAACACCAGAAAAGAGTCCTATAAGAAATTCTGTTCAAACTGGCCATAAAACTATTAGTAAATATTTGTTATTGTTCATTAACTCTCAGCTACTTTGTTGAAAGAATCGATGTTGTATTTTCAAGATGAGAATAACTTAGCTAGTTTTGTCATAATCCTGTACTCTGTATAAAAATCTTTTTATAAACAAAGTCTAATAGGCTACCAAGCAATAATATATTCCATTGGGTGTGCACAGATTGTGATTTGCAGGCTGTAGTACATATTGTTGATACAGTTTATAATTGTCTTCAATCTCAACAACACCACTTTTGAAAAAGTTCCATATTAACTTTGATTGTAAAAAACAAAGACTGGGCTATTGCCTTGTTAGATATATTCATCCTATAGACTTCTCTGTGAGTGTCTGTGCCCATCGACATGAGATCTCTCTTAGGTGAAGAAGGAAACAGCTGTGGGTGACTTCATACTACAGAGGTAAAAAATAGTTTCAGTATAAACTTCATGACTGTTTCAATCTCCTGTTTTTCTTAGGCTATCTAGTATTTGTAACTTGATGAGAATGGTTCCCACTGCCACTGTAGCCCTGATAAAGCAAAAAAGCCTTTGCACTCTGGGGCCACTTGAGTTCTGCCTGACAGCTGCCTATTTTCCTCAAGGAATAACCTGGGGCAGGCTAAAGGGAGGGGGTTTTTTCAGAGCTGCAGATGAGGCTGCTCTTCTTTAAAGGCTCTGTGGGTTATTTTGTCCATTTCATAGGTGGTATTTGTCCATTTTGT